GTCTTTTTTTTAGGACTCTTTAAAAAATATATTATGTAGCATGAAGCCTCAGAGTTACCGTATGGAAAACATAGAAGAAAGGTGTAAAGCTGTGTCTATAGTGCACTTTCAACAGCTGCCACACAGATTCAGAGAGAGCACCATTGTACTATTTCTTAGGATAAATCTACACTACTGCTTTTATTGTTCTAACATTTGTAGCTCCAGGGTGTAAATAAACCATGAGCAGTGTAGTTACACCTAAGTACCGATATGTAAAGCACTATGGCTACGTCTACATTGGCCCCTTTTCCGAAAGGGGCATGTTAATTTCACAGGTCGTAATAGGGAAATCCGTGGGGGATTTAAATATCCCCCGCGGCATTTAAATAAAAATGTCCACCGCTTTTTTCCGGCTTTTAGAAAAGCCAGACAAGAGCGTCTACACTGGCCCCGATCCTCCGGAAAAAAGCCCTTTTCCAGAGGATCTCTTATTCCTACTTTGAAGTAGCTACCAGGGCACCCTGGGAAGAGCCGAAGGCCCCCTATTTCAAAGTATTACTTCCTACTTTGAAGTAGAAATAAGAGATCCTCCGGAAAAGGGCTTTTTTCCGGAGGATCGGGGCCAGTGTAGACGCTCTTGTCTGGCTTTTCTAAAAGCCGGAAAAAAGCGGTGGACATTTTTATTTAAATGCCGCGGGGGATATTTAAATCCCCCGCGGATTTCCCTATTACGACCTGTAAAATTAACATGCCCCTTTCGGAAAAGGGGCCAGTGTAGACGAGCCCTATGTCAACAGGAAAACTTCTACCACTTCTACCACTGCTTCTGCAACTTGTTGGGAGGTAGATTAAGTGACTGGGAGAGAACTCTCCCTTTAACCTACAGCAGCTGCTCTAAAGAATCTATAGCAGTGCAACTATACCTGTAAACTCTAATGTTGCCATAGCCTTAGTGAGCAAACATTTAATATGTCCACAGACATTTTCACATAGTATGTTGAATTATTTTTAATAACTTCATCCTGTGATAGGGTATGTCTACACTAAAAAGTTAATTTGAACTAACAGCCGTTAGTTCGAATTACCTTTCATAGCGTCTATACATAGAAACCGCTAGTTCGAACTTAATTCGAACTAGTGGAGCGCTTAATTCGAACTAGGTAAACCTCATTCGAAGCCTAGTTCGAATTAAGGGCTGTAATTCGAACTAGTGGGAGGCTAGCCCTTCTCAGCTTGCCCTGGTGGCCACTCTGGGCACAACCAGGAAAATTCTTCTGCTCCCCACCAGCCCTGGAGCCCTTAAAGGGGTTGACTCTGGCCATAGTGTCTGTGCCAGCTGCAAGCCTGCCAGCACAGAGCCAGCAGTCCGTGCACCTGGCCAGGCATGAGCCAGCAACCCACTGGCACCCAGCCCTCCATCACTCCCCAGGAGCAGGCTGGCAGCTCCCAGGGGACGCAAAATGCAGGCGCCTTCCTGGTCTAGTGTGGAGATTGTGGACCTCATTGAGATTTGTGGGGTGGCCTGCAATGTCCACGATCTCCACACTAGATGCAGGAACATGGCCATCTACAGGCAGATGGCTGCCAGCCTGGCCACCCTGGGCTACATGTGCACCCAGGGCCAGGGGCTCATGAAAATAAAGG